CTGAGGTTTCTAGGTCTAAGTTAAATATTGCTATGGTTATTATGATAGAGTCTCAGAGTTCATGTTTCTTCAYTTAATTATCTCATCGTCTCCTAATCTGTATTGAGTCTCTCAGTTTCATTCCAGGATGAAGTTTTGAGGCTCCATATCTACATTAAGGCACAGATTGTATTTATGGTGTGTCTTGTACAGTACATACTAATCATGCCACCAGTGCTTGRGTAATTGTGGTAAAGTTGCAAAATATTATTAAACTATTATTAAAATGCATGCAGCTGTCACCAGAGCAGGTAGCTCATGAATTTCTGTCTSTCTCGTAAGACAGAGTACAATAATTAAGTTTTTTTTCTAGTGATACTACCCTCTGAAAATAATCTCCCTTCATTAATTTTTCATTATAGCTATGACCAATGAAATCACTTTTAGTTAAGRGTTGGAATTATTTAAACCCAACCTGCAAATTCCAAACCAGCTCATTCACAGACACAAGCCTTACCTGCCTTTAATGCTTACACCAGTGTGCTGGTGTGATGTCCATGGAACAGACCAGTTTTGGTGGTGTCCAGGCGAGAGGAGAATGGTATATCCTGGAAAATGAGAAGTGGAACTAACAATAAAGGAGTTAGTGCCACTGGTACCCAAAATATCCTCAGATCCCATCCTACCTCTTGTGGGAAGTCAGACAAACACAGGGAACTACTCATGCGGTCCCTCTGGGCATCTGAATCAGCTGCAGAAGCAGTCAGCTTCTACTACTGGTACTGTGATGGTAGAGAGAGAGGTTCCAGCCAGCCCTGGAGGCTGTACATTGGCACCTGAGTGACAAAATCTTGCTGGAGCAAACTAGCTCCATGGAGAGGGACAGCTGCAGAAGTTAAATAGGTTACACTGATTCAGTAAAACAGTTTGAGTTGATGAGCACTTGACTAGAAATTTTGGGGTTGCTAGTTCAGACAGGGCTCTCCYACTTTAATCTGCATATCATCCAACTCTGCTAAGAACAAATGAAACTTCTGGAGATTCTGACATGACTTACATGRTGGAATGTACAATAAATAGATAAGAAAATTGAAAAGATATGCAGTTGGAAAGAAACATAGCAAAAGACAGTGGGTGACTTACTCTTTCAGACTAGCATAGCAAGCATTCAGTCCATGTACCATGKTCAGTCCTGGGGATGGCTGAACACTGCCTGCTCATGGAAAGTGGTCAGCTAATCCATTTTGCTTTACTTGTGCTTGCAGCTTTTGGTGTTCCTATCTCAATCCATGAGTTTATTTCCTTTAATGGTCCTATTCTGTATGCATCCAACTGTAGAGGAGTGAGTGGGTAGCTGGATAGGGCAGTTGACAGTGGGGGTTAAACATATATTTGTGTATATATAYCATATAATCTGAATCAGAGTGTTTTATTTGCTCCCCATCCTTGCCTGAGACACCCCTGGTGGGTTTCCTTATTCTCTRTCTGCCAAGGCCTGGTCCTGCAGTTTTCTGTCTCCTCTTCATGCATGGACCTGCCTGCTGCTGCTTCTGTGTGCCCTGAGCTTGGCAGTGGCATGCTTCATTGCCAGTGCTCACTGGGGTCAGGAGGAGCCCAAARCACAGTAAGCACACCGAGGAGCATGAGAGGAACTGCAAATGATTCTCTATTTGCACCAATTCTATTTGTGCAAGATGCTGCTAGACATACTTCCTCTTGGAAAGGCTGGCATCAGTGGTATTGCCATGTGGCTAAAGAGGGTTACTTTTTAATGAGATTGATGGGATTTGTGGTGAAAATGCAGCCCACCAYGGCACAGAGAGCAGAAATCTCACTCTAGGATTAAACCTGGATGGGGAGTCCTGAGCTGTAGAGCCATGTTTCTCCTTTCTCTCTGTCCATGTTTTCTTAATAAGGGATGACTTTTCAGCAGTAGACAGTCTGAGCTTTCTGGACCTGAGTTGGCACACAAGGACAGTATTCTGGCTCCAGAGTTAGCACAAGTGGGGCCAGCTCAGCTATYTCCAATACAGTAAGGGTGTAACCCTTTAGACTGAGTTCCTGTGATCATGGTGTTGGCTACTGAGATGCTGTCCTGTGGGTGAGAGTGGCCCGCCACTGTCTCTGGTAGTCAGCAAGACAGAGGTGTGCATCTCTTTCAAATAACAGAAGGTGTACTTAATATTTTCAGAAATACTCCTACTCACATTAAAAGCCAATCTTGTAATATTACTCATATTAAAAAGGACATTTTGATTCCTGACTGTGAAGTAAGTAAGGAACATGAGACCTTCCCCTCTTGCCGGGAATGTTGCCACCATGATACTACAGAGGTTTCCTTTTCTCTCTTCCAGTGCCGCAGCTGAGTGTTACTGAGTGACTGATGGGTATCATGTCAGCCTTGTTTCGCTGTACCACCAGTACTGGACTCTGTAGAGAGATCTCAAATGCCTTGGCTTCAGCAGAAAAAACTGCTGCAAGGCAAAGGCAGTAAGTCAAAAGCATTTTTGGATCTCTGCCCACAAGGATCGTGCACAAATTTTCTTTTTACCATGCATGTGGAGAATAGTACCATATTGATACATTTTCTTCTCTATGAAAGCATTTTTCACAGTGCTTAGATTCATGCATGAARTCATCTTTATCCATTTGGAGGAGCAGTTTGATCAGTTACAAAGGTAATCCCTCACTGATGGGAACTGAGAAGGCTTGGTAACATTTGGTCTGCAAGGCTTGCACAGGCTTATCACTTATTCTGGGCCAGAATTTTATAGACAGYCAATTTCACAGTTCCTAATTTAACCACATCAGCGTGTCTTAAACCTGTCTTAAGCTGTAGCTGTGCTGAAATCCTATGCTGTTGATAAATATCCCAGTCTGTGCCCATGAGCAATATTAGCGCCTTTCTGTGTGACATTCACATTCAGTTCTCATCAGATTATAGAAGTAAAACATCATATAAAATATGTGAAAACAGCTCTTTCCAGATTATTCAGAAACAGTCTGCCAAGTACTTGGTTGTTCTGGTAAGCACRTAAAAATCATCCGTACACAATCTTTTGATAAGCCACCACTTAAAAAAGGGAGACAAACATTATCCTCTGTGCTGTTCTTAGTGCTAAAATGCAGGAAGTTAGTGGCATGAGCACTCAGGTGCAAGGCCAGGGAAGATCCCATTCACCAAGGAGCATTGATGTATGCTTTTGTAAAGATTTGTCTACAAGAGAAGGTAAAGTTTCGCTGGGTACACCTCCCTGCCATGTTTGTGTCAAGGTGTTCCAGTGATTTCTATCTGATGATGTGAGCAAGTACCGAGTTGGGCACAGAGTGATGCAGAGAGACCTACAGTGCAGAACAGCCAGATGCCACATTCTCCATCCAGTTTGGTGAGGCAGGCCTGTGTACATAAGCAGGACTGTGTGTAACCATGGTATTAACATATATAGAACAGGTTATATGATTCTGGCTGCATGGTCTAATTCCTTGCCAAGTTTCCAGTAGTTCAATCATGATCTAATCTGAAATAATTAAATCGGTTATGGTTTTTTGGAACAGCTTTCTCATCTGTGGGGCTATGAATATCATCACTGTAATCACAGGTAGAATAGTTTTTATAATAGCCTGTAAGTTTAAGTGATAAAATTTGCAAAACTCTCTTTAAACAAAAATCACCGAAGCAGATTGCTAACTTGTGATCCTGAACTCACAACAGTTGTGTCATAAGGTGATGTAAAACCCATGGATTTAAGCTTGTGAAGCTTTTATAAAGTTGGCCTGTAAAGTTTAAATCCAGACCTGTATCTAGAATTCAATTTCTTAAATCATGTTACACCTACATGATTCCTATCTGATGAAGCTCCTTGACCTAGAAATCTAGATCTGATTTGCTAATGGGATCTTAAATCAATACACAAATTGAACAATATGAGGGAGAAGTGGGGTTGAGTGGAAAAGTAGGGACATACTGGTTTAGTTTGTTAGAAAACCTTACACTCTTGACTTCTGATCTATTAAAAACGTAAAATAATTGCACATGATTGAAGTTTACAATTCAGAGTTTATTCTGCCTTTCTTGTACAAATTTCTTGTTTTAGATCAACTAATAAGTAAAATAGAAGAATTGTACCACCCACTTTTCTAAAATCAATTGCTTCAAATACCTTGAAGTCTAACCAGCCATAATGTAAATCTTTCTCATAAATGGTCAGATATGTGAGCTTTGGATTTTAATTTTAAACTGAAGGAACTGTCTAGCTTCAGCCAGCAAAAGCCCAGGATTTGTTCATCATATTTTTCTTGTATTCTTAAAATTGTATTTGTACTCAGTTTCATTTGAATATGTTTTTGATTTGTCCAAACAGCAGATGGCTGTGATAAAGAGTCTGTATTTAACTTGGCACTTTCCATTCCACATTCCTTTACTATTCATAGCACACCAGTCATACTTGTCTCCACATAAAAGGAGGCAGTTCAACTTGCAGATGCAGTTCCTGTCATACGTGTATTTGCAAATGCACAGCATTATTTCTTTTCAGTGTTGAGAAGACCAGACACTAGATATAGTAGGTGGATATTTTTTCATCTCTGCCACTCTCATGAAATGTGAGACACTAGAATAGAAACTAAAGCTGTGTCTGCAGTAAGGAAACCCCTGTACTTAAAATTAGATACATGCAGAGCCTGTGTTCCTGTGGGGAGAGGGGGAGTATACGCAGGCAGAAATACTTGCTCTTGAAGACAGAGTTGTGGGATTTCAGCCTAAATGTCAAGCAACATGGACAATTAAATAGTCATCTAATTAAACAAAAAGACTACCAAAAATGTGTAATAGAAAAGTGCGAGAGCAATGTCTTTTTTTTTTTATTACTGAGGTTTTCACTAAGAATTTGATCCTTTTGAGCATTTGTAAGCAAAAWTTTTTTCTTCAGTTATGTTAAAGCAAATCAATTTTCAAAAATGTCTTAAAGGTTTTCTTTCAAATTATTTTGACAGAAAGCATTATTTCTACTTACTGTGTTTTCAATTAAAGACAATGATCCTTTTTTTCTTACAGTTTCAAATAAGCAACACACTTCTAAAAAGTAATTTCTCAAGGGATTTTCGGTATAGAAGGTTGAACTGTGGAAAGAGGGACTTTTTTCTTGATAGTATCTTTCAGTCTGTGYGCTTCCTAGAGAGAAAAATTTAATCTCAAAAATAGAAAAGAGCTTTTTGGTGCATAAACTTCTGCAAGATTCACAATTTGTCTGTTCCTTCTTTAATGTTTATGACTATGAATGACAAATGCTTATTCCTTAGAAATACAACTCCTGCTACTTAACTCAAATATGTGCTGTATTTTCAATATGTTATCAAATAGATTTTTTTCTCCTGCTGAGACTAGCCCAGGTTTGCTACTTGTTCTGACAGCCTGGGTTTTCAACCTGTGTGTAGCTGGAGGCAAGCAGTCTAACATTTCACATCAAACAATAAGCTCAGCATACAGGAAAGTATATACAAAGAATTTCCTTTACTGTAATAAAATACAGCTACATGCTTACTACACCCTACAGCATTGCTTGGCTGATACTATTTTGTTACATTAAGAATGATTTTATCTCACCGATAACTATAGACATGGTTCTAATTCTTTCCCACTGAGTTCTTCATTTCAACAACCAAAATGCCATCATGACAGAAAAGTGCAGTCAAGTCTTTGTTCTCCACTCCATCAGGTAATTTGTATTGTCTGGTGAAGCTTCTGGATATGAAACCATGTTCATCCATCCTGGGTCCATGCTGAGCTTTAATCAGGAGCCAACCTTCGAAAGTCTGGATAATGATATCTTCAGGGCGGAACTGCACAACGTCCAGCAAGACCTGAAAGTGTGTGTTTTCCTCCTCCTGGCCACTCTTCCCAGCCCCAGCCGTGCTTTCTGTGGCGCACCTTTGGTTGCTCAGTGCAGCGGTAGCAGGGCCCGGCAAAGCGTACAAAAGGTGGTTCAGTTTGTGGGCTTCCAGMTCCTGGCCAGCAAACTGCTCCTGGTAGCGTACAGGAGTTTCCACCCAGTGTCTTATGACAGCTTCTGCCATTGCTGAGGCAGAAAGATCGGCTTCTGCTCTTGCTGTGTCGGGAAGCTGCAGAGTCAGAGTGAGCTCTTCCCAGCCGTATGTCTCACCCACAGACCCGTCTATCAGTTGCTGTTGCCTTTCACTTTTAGAACAGGCAGAGCTTAACATTTAATACAGTGTCCTGTGCTCCAGTGCTGTGAGACTTGTTTCATCTTTTATCCACTAACAATAGAGCACTATTTATAGTGCTGAAGTCTTGAGTGGCTTCAACATATGCAGGAGTAGTAAAGGCAAAATTTTAACGCACATCTTATTGCAATATTACACTGTTTGTAATTATGAACAATGATTACACAAATAATGTGATTTTTAAATTTTATTTAAATGAAAGTTTAATATTAATGTTTTTACAAGGGATACGTGGAAATAAGAACAAACTCTCTATTTCTTCTAATTGAAATGTGGAGCTACTGAGGGAAGAGATTTAATTAGCTTGGCAGCAGAAATGGAGCAGATTTCAGGTTTGGTAATCTGCAAAGTTAGAAAGTGCGTTGGATGTTTTTGCAGAAGTTGCGGATAGATGAAATTTGGACATGGTTAATCATTTTATTGGTGTGAGGAGGGAACCATCTCTTCCCGAAAAGGGGAAACCTGAAATGCTGAGTTTGCATTCTTAGTGACCTACCAACACAACAGAGAACTACCGTGAAAACTCATGTTTCAGAGCTTCCAGAAGAGGGTAAAGTTGTTTTTCCCCACAGAATAGTAAAGTCAATTCTATATCCTTAATGCTATCACATTGTCCCAGTAATCTTCATCTTCTGTTGCTTAACAGCTTAAACCTATGGTCACAGCTGCTGCATGTGTCTGCAGAACAGGACTGATGACCCCTAAAGTTCTCTGTGCTATAATTATGGAATGAAAAAATGTTTGCGAATGGCACTGACCTCTGGAGATCATCTAGACCAACCCCGCTGCTAATTAAATTCACCTAGAACAGGTTGCACAGGATCACATCCAGGTGGGTCTCTAATATCTCCAGAGAAGGAGCTTCTACAATCTCTTGCTTGTAAAATTCTTGCTACTCTATGACTGCAGGGCAAATAATGCCTACAATGTTCAATAGTTGGTTTAAAAAGAGCTAAGAGAAAAGTGTAGGAAAGAGGGAAAACAATTTCTGAATGTTAGTACTTTTGCTGGAAAATCACTCTAACTGAGCATGGTAAAGCAGAATACGTTATGACAACTGATGGTGAAGGTATTTTATTCCATTTTTTTTAGTGCAATAACAGTTGCCCTAGTGCTAAAAATAATCAGAGAAGATACTCTTATTCTTTCTTGTTTGGCTATTGTTGTTCAGAGTTCTATCTCCCTCTTGTCCTTACATGTTTCATTATCATAGTTATTATGGGATCTTCAATTGCTAATGGAGTAATGAGGAAAGAGGCAATACTTACCAGATATTGACTTCTTTATTGTATTAATAGCAGGGCAGGATTACCAGATGTATCTATAATTAAAGCTCTAAGGCTGCCATTTTATTTTAAACTTAGAAAGGCTGCATTACAAGGTAGAGATTGCTTACATTGCTTACAATAATGGCCAACCGTTTAATTGAGTATTGTGAGGGAGGAGTATTGTGAGTAAGGAAAGTGAGACTACTTTATTTAACTATTGGCTCTTCTGTTAAGCTGTCCTGCAGAAATAATTTAAAAATGCAATTCTGAATGTATGACTGACTAAAATAGTGATGAAATCAACCTGGAGCATTGCCCATTATCTGTCCAGCAGTTGTTTTCTCTTTTGCTAGAAAATGATTCAACTGATGAGGAAACTTTAAYCCTAAAGTGAAGCAGCATGCCTGGCTGGTTGTGATACTATGCTTATACAGATTACCAAAAGCTATTGCTGTCCCTAATTAAGCCTGTGATAAGAAACTGACTTATTTTACTTTGATTTTGCAATTAATTAATAAATGTACTGTGCAGGGATATCACTTTTTTTCTTTAAAAAAAATTAATTATTCCTGTTATCTCTGGAAAAGGGTAAACTTGCCCMTAGTTCAAATGAAAGCGGAAATTGCCATCTCAGTGCAAGTCACTGTGAGACAGCTGTATCTATTCCCAGAAACAGCTGTGCTAGTCTTTCAAATGGCTATGTTAAGCACACTCGAAACTGTCTGGTTTAATTAGCACAAAAGATGTGTTGAATACCCTTTAAATTAATGTTGAATGCAAAATGCTGCAGAAATGTATAGGATTGCTTTCTACTCTGTAGGACAGAAGAAGAAATCAGATAGATTTTGGTAAGTCATGTGGCCTCTGTTTTCCCATCCTGCTCTGTCCCTTCTCCCAGTTTATCACCTGTGGACWCGTGAATTAGCACCCTGCTTCTTATCTCTTTGTTACTAAAATGGGGAATATGCCAAATGGARCAAGAAAACACCCTTGATGTATTTATCAGCTTTCAAATTTATACAGGGGTGCAGTGCCTCAATACTGAGGCACGTTTGCTTCTTCTGCTGCCATACTCTTCAAATATCTACAGCAAGATTCGGCCCAGCAATATGTTTCAATACCAGCTGATTACTGTTGTCTTTTAAAACCTTCAGAACTAATCCGGCAGGAGCAGGATSGATGTCTTGAACCACCAGCTCGGTATCTCGGGTTTTGTTTCCCGTTTTCCCGTGCCTGCCAAGGCCTCTSTGGGTGCTGCGCAGCGGGTAGGAGCCCGCCGGCTGTCCTGGAGAGCCCTGCAGAGCTGCTCGCCCGAAGAGCAGCCGCACAGCTGGTCACCGCACCTTGCACTCAGCAGCCCACGCTGTCCCTCGCTGCCCGCAGGTATTCCCGAGACTCCCGCGGACAGCGGGACAGCGCCGGGATCCGCCGGGATCCGCGGGGCACAGCGACATCTCCTGGCGAGGCGGGGCACCGCCCCCCGGCTGCCAGCCCCTCCCGGCAGCGCCCCTCCGCGCCGCCAAACGCGACACTCACTCGGCTCTCCGCGGGCTGCTCGCACGCTGAATGGAGCTGCTTGCTCAGTATTTGGGAAGGAGGTGACGGAATACAGATTGGAGTCACATCCTGGGCTGCTTCCAAAGCAGCGCGGCCWGCAGGTCGAGGGGGGGATTCTGCCCCTCTGCTCTGGTGAGACCCCAMGTGCAGTGCTGCATCCAGCTCGGGGGTCCTCAGCACAAAAAGGACATGGACCTGTTGGGGTGGGTCAAGAGGAGGGACACCAAGATGATCACAGGGTTGGAGTACCTTATTTAGAGGCAGGCTGAGGGAGTTGGGGAGTTGGGRTTTTTCATCCTGGAGAAGAGAAGGCTCCAGGGACTCCTTATTGTGGCCTTCCAGTATGTAAAGGGGGCTTATAAGAGAGCTAGTGAGGGATTTTTGACARGGGCAGGCAGTGACAAGACTGGAGGGAAAGGCTTTAAACTGGAAGGCAGTAGGTTTACATTAGGATTTAGAAAAAAATTCGTTACTATGTGGGCTGTGAAACACCGGAACAGGTTGTTTGGGAAAATTGTGGATGTCTCATCCCTGCAAGTATTCAAAGCAGATTGTATGGGGCTTTGAGCAGTCTGATCTAGGGGGTGGCATCCCTGCCCATGGCAGGGAGCTTAGAACTAATGATTTTTAATGTCTCTTTCAACCCAAACTT